AAAAAAAAAATGATATTCAGAAAATAATAAAAATTCGAAATAGAAACTTAAACGTGGCTTTTCTTTAGTCACATTACTCTCGCTAAAACCTAGTTATTAACCTACTGACTTCATGAAAAAGCTTCGGAAAACATCAATCTCCAATTGAAAACTCCAACTCTAACACTACCTGAAGAAAAGGATCTTTGCTCTTCACTTTTATTCTCTGTGCTGTAAGTTCGCGCGCAGGTCGACGGGCTACCGAAGCGGGGGTGCCATCCCCTCCGCAGGGGATCAAAATTGTGATGGCATGTCTTCGGATCATCCTCCGGGGTGTTTCCCAGACCGTCGCCAATAGCCCATTGTGCAGCTCTAGTGCGACGTAAATTAACAACAACAACATCTGTGCTGTAAGAGTAGTAGTTGTTGTTGTTGTAGTTCATTTGCGTCGCACTAGAGCTGCACAATGGGCTATTGGCGACGGTCTGGGAAACATCCCTGAGGATGATCCGAAGACATGCCATCACAGTTTTGATCCTCTGAAGAGGGAATGGCTCCCTTGCTTTGGTAGCCCGACGACCTGCACGCGAAGTCGAGCACTTTAAGGTAGAACAGTTTACTGTGCTGTAAGAGAGAGAGTTCAAACGAACGAGTTTGATTCAATTGTTGCTAATAATCATAGCACACTTTTTGCATCGACCGCGTATTCTAAAGAAACCCAGTAGGATTCGATGAAAACATGAATTATTCTATTAGAGGAAGGCGCGTGCATGACATAAAAGCGCAGAGGATCTTCAGGGTTACTTCAGGGCACGAGCCTGTGATCCTCGTTCCTCAGTCTGGGACCACAATTTGACAGTCAACCCGGCTTACTAATTCGTTAATGTTTGTTGTCATATATACATATGCAGACTTGTGTGCTCATAATAAAGAACGGATTCTAAGTTAAGTGACCAGCGTCATCAAAAAATTAAAAAATTGGTAACGAAATTTCCAAAAGAACATTCAAAAACTTATCTCCTAATATTTAAAAAAAAAAAAATTCTGTTAGAAAATCTTTGCGAGAGAATTTTGATCTCAGAATATTAAATTGGAAAAGTAAAGCTGTGAGTTTTTAAATATCCGAACATATTTTTACTACCAATTTTTTTTAGCTTTTTTTTTTTTTAGAATGCTGGTTAAGTCCTATAGATTGCACAAGTTAGAGAAGGACCTCTGGAAGATACATAAAGAGTTATAGTAGGATTCGAACCACTCCCTCCACGCTACAGAGCGCTTAACGAGACAGTGAGATCATTCGGCTTGGAAGGGTGCACTTATTGCATACTCAAAATTATAAGAGTAGTTTCAATTCACTAGATCTATCATCTTAATCCCACAGTCGATTGATCTAAGACACAGTTCCCAGTAGATCTCCAAAGACAAACATCACTGGCAGCAGATAGTGAAGGGGTGAGTGACCGCTTTGATCAGCCTGCGAAATGACCAAGGATGCGATGTATTAAATTGTTCTACCATAAAGTGCTCGACTTTGTTCGCAGGTCGTCTGACTACAAAAATGAGGGAGCCATCCCCTTTGCAGAAGATCAAAAGTGTGATGGCATGTCATTAGGTTATCCTCAGAAATGTTTCCCAGACCGTCGCTAATACTCCATTGAGCAGCTCTAAGACG